CCGGCCCCGCGCGCCGCTCCCCGCCTCCTCCCCCCGCGCCCCCCATTACTATTCCACATCCTGGTCTTTTCCTGGGAGGGAGCCCGAGGGAACTGCGGTCCCGAGGGCTCTGCGGACACTTCAGAACTCGGCGCTGCTCCGGCGTGGCGGCGTTGTATCTACTTTACACACTGGCGCCACAAACTCCTTCCCGCGAAGGGCGAGCCAATCAGCGCCCAAGACGCTTCTCGTCCCAGCCAATCAGGGCTCACCACTCTTCCGCTTTTTCCGGTATCCGGGCCGCGCTTCAGAAAAGCGTCCTGCCCCAAGAAGGGATGGAAGCCTCAGCGGCCACCTTTACTGAGGGCAAAACCCTGATCTGATAGGACGGTATTTCAAGAAGTCAACCAATCAAAGCAATACTTCCGGGGCGTATAAAATCAGCCTTGTCAACTTGCCTGCTTACACCACTTCCGATGTTTGGTAGCCTATGCCCGCCAAACTGCCAGTTTCCAGGCAAAGCTGAGTTTTAGAGGCCTTGGTAGAAGTCACGCTTTCGACGTTGGCGCCACGTTGTGACACGCTATTTGCACACCTCAGAGACTCACAGTACTAGCCTCGCAGGACCTCGTGGGGTTATTTATTTTCTATAAGATATGAAAATCACCAGGTGTGGCGATTTAATCTCGGTACTCAGGAGGCTGAGGCGGGAGCATCTCTGTGAGTTCGAGTCCAGCCTGGTCTGCATAGCGAATTCTAGGCTAGCCAGGACTACGTAGTGAAACCCTGCCTCAGAAATTTAAATAAAATAATATCCTGTAGAACCATATGATCGTCTCTATTGAGCCTGTAAGAAACCTCATGGGGTCTAGCAAGATGGCTCAGCAAGCCAGACTATCTGAGGTGCATCCCTGAGACCTTCAGGGTGGAAGGAGATGCTTGGCAGATAATCCCACCAGATGAGAATAAAGACCTTTACCCAGATTCTTTGGTCAGATTAAGCAAGCTTTATTTTCTGTCAGACAGGGCTATCTCCCTAAAGAGGGGTTTGTGAGAATAGAATCAGACACAGGAGAAAGTGAGATTTATATAGCCCAAAAAACTGCAAGAATAGGGGGTTTTCGAGGGTTGGGGGATTTTCAGAGGAATTGTGATTATATAGGAACTTGGCTGCACATTTCAAAATTATTTGGCAGAACATCTTATCAGGGTGGAGATCAGGGTGTGGAACACATCAAATGCCAGAAAATGGGTCAAGACCTGGTAAAATTTAAGTTTTACAGAAAACAGGAATAAACTTATTTTAACCTTGTAATAAGACACTTTCTAATCTTAAAATGGGGTCAGGCTGGTCCCTCACAACTCCCAAAAGTTATCCTCTACGCGCACGCACGCGCATGCACACACACACACACACACACACTTGTAGCCAGGGGTATACACATACATGAGTGTTTTAAAAGAAAGAAACCTAAGCTGGGTGGTGGTGGCAGAGGCGAATGCCTTTGATCCTAGCACTCAGTGGGCAGAGGCAGATCTCTGAGTTCAAGGCCAGCCTGGTCTACAGAGTGAGTTCCTGAACAGCCAAAACTACACAGAAAAACCCTGTCTCAAGAAAACCAAAAAACAAACAAACAAAAAACCGTTCACTCGACAGAGTCTCGAGATGTAAAGATCGCTTGAGAGCAAGCCTGACAACCTGAGTTCTAAACCCTGAATACACACACAGCCAGATGCAATGGCACATCTGTAATCCCAGCACTCCCTCCGCGAGATGGGAGGCTGAAATCGAGGCTTCTGTGCCTGCTAGCCTGCGGCACACTGAACCACAGAAACAGGAAGAGGCCTTGCCTCAAGGAGTACCAACTCCTGGACATTGTCTTGTCTTCCACATGCACACCATGTCACACACATTCCACAAATGAATGTAATTTTAAAACATTATATGTAGCTGGGCAGTGGTGGCACAAGCCTTTAATCCCAGCACTTGGGAGGCAGAGGCAGATGGATCTCTGAGCTCCAGGCCAGCCTGGTCTACCAAGCAAGTTCTCAGGACAGCCAGAGCTACACAGAGAAACCCTGTCTCTAACATAAACAAAAAAAATTATATGAATATGTGTATGTATGTGTCCACGCATATGTGTAAGTGTATGTTGCAGCTGTAGCTTAGTGGAAGAACATATGCCTGGAATGGGCAAGGTCTTGGGCCACCTTCAGAATTTCTGAGGTTTCCTTCTCCTTTTCTCGTCTTTTTCTTTTTGTGACAGGCACCCTGTACTGCCCAGTCTGGCTCCTAACTTCCTTTTATTTATTTTTTATCCATGTGTCCATATGGGTGTGTGCTTTCCGGAAGATGGTGGAATCACAAGCAGGTGTGAACCACCTGACATGGGCATCGGGAACTGAACTTGGGTCCTGTGGAAGATCAAGTGTTCTTAAACAGCCATTCTCCGGCCCCTGCTTTCATCTTTGGTAGCTGAGATTACAAACCTGTACCACCACTGTTAGCAATCTAACCTCTCACACTGTGGAATCCTTAAAGCCATCTTAGAAAGCCCTGCTTAGAGGGCGTGCACACATATCTTGCGTGGTGTAAGTTGAGCCTCCTAAATGTAACCATTGGACAGTTATTTTTAGTGGGGTGTGGTGGTGCAGACCTACAATGGCAGCACTTGCTGAGGCTGGAGGCTCATGAATTTGCGGTCAGCTTAGGGTATCCTGCAACAAAAAGATTTGTTGTTTTTCCTTCAAGGATCATTTTATTATAATTTGAGAGGAAAAGGATAGTAACAAGGCAAACAAGCTAAAAATCTCGATAGTTTCAGGGAGGCGGGATATGGGTAAGAGGAAGACAGACAGCTGTCCCTTTTGAAGTAGGTTTTAAGAAAGGTTCAGCAAGGAAGGTTGGTGAAGAGCTGGATGGGGCAAGGTCTTCAGAGAAAGAATGGGAATGTCCAAAGTCTCAGGGCAAGGATTCTTAGGGTTTGGCCAATAGCCAAAGAAGATATAAAAAAGAGAAAAGGAAACACACACACACACACACACACACACACACACACACACACACACACACACTTTAGAAGACAGGGTTTCGGGGCTGGAGAGATGGCTCAGCGGTTAAGAGCACTGGCTGCTCCTCAAGAAGACCTGGGTTCAATCCTCAGCACCCACATGGCAGCTCACAACTGACTGTAATTCCAAGATCTGACACCCTCACACAGACATACATGCAGGCAAAATGCCAATGTACACAAAATAAGAATAAATAATTATTTAAAAAAAAAAGATGACAGGGTTTCAGTGTGTAGTTCTGGCTGGGTTGGAAACCCTCATTTAGACCAGGTTGGCCCCAAGCACACATGATGTGCCTGCCTCTGCACCCCAAGTGCTGAGATTAAAGCATGCAGCACTATACTATGCCCTGCTAAATGTTACATTTTTGAGATACAAATCAAAAAAGTAGGCTGACATCAGGGAAGATCAGTAAGCCACTGCGGGAAAAAATATATTTATTCTTTAAGAACAACCAAACCTATTTTAAGTCAGGCATAGTGGCGCACACCTTTAATCTCAGTGTTTGGAGGCAGAGGCAGGTGGATCTCTGTGAGATCAGTTTCAGGACCGTCAGGGTTATGTAGAGAAACCTGGTCTCAAATAAAAAAATCTTATTTTATGGCTGGGCGTTGGTGGCGCACGCCTTTAATCCCAGCACATGGGAGGCAGAGCCAGGCAGATCTCTGTGAGTTCGAGGCCAGCCTGGACTACCAAGTGAGTCCCAGGAAAGGCGCAAAGCTACACAGAGAAACCCTGTCTTGAAAAACCAAAAAAAACCAAAAAAATCTTATTTTATGTGTGTGGGTGTTTTGCCGCATGTGTGCCTGGTGCCCATGGAGGCCAGAAGAAGGCATCAGATTCCTGGGTTTGGGGTTACAGACAGTTGTAAACTATCCTGTGGGTGCGGGAATTGAAGCCAAGTCCTATGGAAGAGCAGCCAAAGCTCTCAACTGTGGGGCCATCTCTGCAGTCTCCCTAACAATTATTTTATGACCCTTTCACGTCTGTGCTCTAAGACCTTTAGTGTCCCCTCCCTATGACCTCGAGGAAGAAATTCATGATCCCGAGAACAGCATCCCAGTTAGGAGCTGTATAGGCAGCCCTGTGAACCTGTCCAAAGCCTGCTCCTCTCCCTACACTAACAGCTGTTCCTTGCTGTTCCTCTGCCCCTGCAGGCAGTGTGTCAGGCACACAGAGGCAGTTGACTGAATATTTGATAATGAGCAAATGAAGGAGGAGCTTCAGGAATGAGTGCGGAAGGGCGTTTGAGAGCCTGGACCAGATATCAGCTCTTGTAGATTCACTCCCGATGACATCATTCCTCACCTTCTTGGACTAAGCTCTCAGTGGACTTGAACCCCAGATCTGCCACAATTGCAGGCTGCTCTCCCACAGGCCACGTGTGGCCAAAGGTCACTGGCACCAGAGGGCTGTCTTGTACCCACTCCCACAAGGACGTTGCCGCCAGGTGTTTGCCTTCTGTGTGTAGTTAAGGTTCTGGGGCTGAAGATGAAGATGGGAAATGACCCTGGAGAGCACTTGACCCTTAGCGGCTGCTGCTTTCTTTTTTGAGACAGGCTCACACTGTAGCACAGGTCAGTATGGAACTCAACATTTTAGCCCAGGCTATCTGTAAACTCATGGCGATCCTCTTGCTTTAGACTCCCAGCCGCTGGGATTATAGGCATGAGCCGCCATATCTGACTCTTCGGTCAGTTTACCCCAGTATGATTTTTCCCCTATAGAGTGATGGGGATTGTGGAGATTACATTCGCTAAGAGTCATGCACATATTTGGGGGTCATTTGAAGAAGGGATGCTAAAAAGGGGGTAAGATAGCAGCCAGAGCTTGGTCCTCAAAGGAAAGCTGACAGAGTCTGCTTCCGGATGAACTTTATGGATGAAAGGGCCTCAAGGTCATGATGCTGTGAGGTCGGAGGAAGCACTAGACAGAAACGATACTATGTCTGGAGATCTAAGCATGGTGGGACCTTACGGAAGGACAGGCCTCCCTCTAAAGCCTGGAGAGGGGCATTGTTAAGAGTGAGAATGAGTGTGTGTGTGGGAGGGGGTGGCAGCGGTAGTGGTGGTGGCCCATACACCTTTGATCCCAGCACTCAGGAGGCAGAAGCAGGCGGATCTCTGATAGTTCCAGGCAAGCCTGGTCTAC